AAATAAGTATTTTTGAATAATAACAAAACTTATTTTCATCTTTCAAGTAGAAGTTGAATTTTTTTTTATTAAACTATTACTCTCTCTTAATTTTTATTTTTAAAAAATAATAATAATAATTTGGACGATTTGATCACACCATGACAAGTAAGATTGAAATGTGGTCAAAGGGTGACCTACTTATAATATGAAATGAAATTAAAATTCATTACTTTATCAAAAAAGTTACAAGCTTGACCAACTACAGCCTAACGATGGTGTAGAAAAGTGGAAGAAAAAAAAAGATAAGTGGGATTTGAATAATGATAATGACCAAGAAAGATTCGATGAATTTAAAATGTGGTAAAAAATCATTCTTGATTTATTCTCGATCTCCACTATGACAACAACAACCGATATCTTAATAGTTAAATAGTAGGTTTATTAATCGAACGTATTATATTAAAAATAATTTTTAACAGTAATTAATTAATGATAATAGTTTAATTATTGATAAATATGTATTTTTAGCGGTAATTAACACTTTTGTAAAGGTCTCTAAGGACTATAAGCTATAGCAACATTAGATTCAATGACAATTAACTAATGCCGATAAAAAATTTAATAGTCTTTTTCAATCTTTGTATTCATTACCGCTAAAAAAAAATTGTTGTAGTGACGGATACCTCAAAATTGAACCAAATTGATTAGTGCGTTAGGCAATACGATGCGTTAAGTATTTCGTGTAAGCAGATTTTAAAAAAAAAAACTATAAAGATTTTGCAATATAAACCTCTTTCAATCCCCTATTCATGAAATACCAAAGAAAAGAAAAGGAAAAAGAAAATTAAATCATCTAAAAATTATGTTAATACTTCTTTATTATGCTTATATATATATATATATATATATATATATATATATATATATATATATATATTACTGTATATATAAGCCAACAACAAAAAGGACTAACATTGCAGTACTTAATTGTACAATATGTTATGTGAATTGTACTATTTATATTTTATCCACATTTACCTTTATTTTACCTTATCAATATATAGGAATCAATTCTTATAGTGTTAGGAGAACCATATTTATAGAAAATGGATTTAACTATCATCTTTATTTCCCCAAATTATTTTTTGAATGAGTGTCAACTATCACATGTCTAATATTGATATCAATGACTTATGTTTAATTAATTGAGGGCTACAACAATAATTTATGTAGAGTGGGAAAAAAAGGCAATTAATTGAGGGCCATAACAATAATCAATGGTGGCTATTTTCCAAATAAATTGGCTACAATTGCAATTCAAAATTAGGCTATATATAAGCCAACAACAAAAAGGACTAACACTGCAGTACTTAATTGTACAATATGCTATGTGAGTTGTACTATTTATATTTTATCTATATTTATCTTTATTTTACCTTATCAATATTTAGGAATCAATTCTTATAGTGTTAGGAGAACCATATTTATAGAAAAGAGATTTAACTATCATCTTTATTTCCCCAAATTATTTCTTGAATGAGTGTCAACGGTCACATGTCTAATTATGATATCAATGAGTTAGGTTTAATTAATTGAGGGTTATAACAATAATTTATGTGGAGTGGGAAAATAGGCAATTAATTGAGGGATGTAACAATAATCAATGATGGCTATTTTCCAAAGAATTGATTCCTTATCAATATTTAGGAATCAATTCTTATAGTGTTAGGAGAACCATATTTATAGAAAAGAGATTTAACTATCATCTTTATTTCCCCAAATTATTTCTTGAATGAGTGTCAACGGTCACATGTCTAATAATGATATTAATGAGTTAGGTTTAATTAATTGAGGGTTATAACAATAATTTATGTGGAGTGGGAAAATAGGCAATTAATTGAGGGATATAACAATAATCAATGATGGCTATTTTCCAAAGAAATTGGCTGCAATTGCAATTCAAAAAAAGGAAAAAAAAACTAACAATTCATGACTCCAAAAATCAGCTAATCCATGCGTGCTACAGAGGCAAGCATATGGATTGTGCTTCTTCACCCTACATTTAAGTCATCCAAACTCATCCAATGACTATATATATATATATATATATATGACATTTTTGAGGCCAATTGAGCTTATATGACAATAATTTGAAAATGCATTAATTTGTTCGGTTAAAATTTGTCATGATCCTTGATTCTCTGTTATGCCTTCCTCTTCAGGTGGATGATTATGTGAGGGACTAAATACAAATGGAGAAAGCAATTTGAAATACAAATGGAAAAAGCTAGAGTGGTATTTAACTGTTCTATCAGAGTCACTTTCTTTTCATGAGTTTAGACGAAGACTTTCCTCCTGAATTTTATTTTAGTTTACTTTTTTTGAACGGTACAAATGTACCGCTGAAGAAGCACCAACATCCATGTGAAAAAAAATCTGCTTGAAAAAATGAAAGCTAAATTACTATTAGCAGTTGCAAGATCAAGAAATACTTTTTAGGATCTATCATTAATATTTTTATCATTGTTAGTAGTGTAATTCTCAACTAAAAAATGTGTGAAATTACAATTTGGTCTGATGACAAAGATTTTGTTTTTGGTTAATTCTCAAAATTACAATTGTTGATGATTCTTTTCCATGTAGTGAGTTTTTATGAAATCAATGTGTTATATCAATTGTTGAAACATTTGGGTGTAGTTATTTTGGTTGACAGACAAACCTAACTACGCACCAACTATATCTTTTTGATGATATTAATGCATTATTAACTTGATGCTAAAAATTTAAAGTAATATATATCGTTTGGTCTATTTTTTTTAAAATAATAAATATTGCATATTTGAACACATTTTTAAATCAAATTGTTAGACTTAGGCCCCGTGCATCGCACGGGCATCACTTTTCTTAAACAAAAATGTGTAAATAATATATATAACAATAAAATAATAGTAATAATTATGCCTACACAAATAAATTAGGGTCAGTTATTTGGATTTCATGATTTTTTTCTATTGTGATATATATTTTTATATTTGGTGTAATTATTTAAGGTGCAAGTGCCAGTCCTACTTATTTTAGTCTATATTTTTGTTGTTTGATATTGCTTTTCATGTTATAATTTTTAAAATTTGATTAGATTTTTCTAATGTTTTTAGCTAAATCTTTAGTTTTCAAAGTTCTTGTTAAATTTAAAAGACACATTTGTTAAATTGTTGATAAAAAACAAAAAACAAAAAGTGTTCAACTTTGACAAACTTAAGGGATCAAAATGCTCAAAAATATACTTAAGAGACTATTTTAAACTTTCCCATAACACTGTATCAGCTCAAATTCACTCTCGCCGGCGTTACCGCCGGCACCGGCTTCTTTTCTACGCCCAACATTGGGCCTCATCAAGCCCGCGCAAGGGCCCGAAAGGATTACCTTAAAGCGCCGACGGGGTAAGAACTTTTATTTTCTTCGTTATACAGTTAGTTGAATTTGTGCATTTTACACTTATCTCTGAATGTCTTTGTTTCCATTTCCAGTTTATTGCATTATTTTCATGTTGTTTTTCTGGTTCACTTCATACTTTAAGCTAGCATTTAGCCATAGATTTTGGTAGAAGTTTTCGAAATTTTATCTTCAAATATTTTCAAGTTTAGACCAGTTTTTGGACTTCTACTCACAAAAGTTCAATTTTTCCCAAGTAAAATGAATGTTGAAGTACAACTTCAAAAACTAGAGCTGAGGATCTATCGAAAACAGTATCGGTCTTCCTACACTCTAACCTCTAATACCCCACTTTGTGGGACTAAAATTGGGTATGTTGTTGTTGTTTACAACTTTAAAAACTCAATTTTTTCGAATTTCAACTTCAAAATCTATGGCCAAAAGGGAGCTTTTCTATTCATAGAGAAGGAATCAAGTTTGCCTTTTTATGCAAATGCAGTTTTTGTAAGTTTTATTTTTCACCTCTATTATCTTATATTCCTTTTGTTGGGAGAGTGAGAGTAGAGATTTAAAAAAAAATTCCTTATTTAAAAAAAGTAGCAAGGCTTATTCTTGTAATAATTGTTATAATAGATAATGTGGGAGAATCCAAATAAATAAATATAAAAAGAAAGAGAACATGTTGCTGTTAGGAGGAATTTTATCCCAAGTTTTTGCCAGTTGCTGCAAATCATTTAGCCAGTCAATTAACAGAGAAGCAAAAGAATAAAACACTAAAATCAGATACAACAACAACAACATACTCACTGTAATCCCACAAGTGGGGTCTGGCGAAGTAGAGTGTAGGTAGAACTTACCCCTATCTCGTGGAGGTAGAGATGTTGTTTCTGAAAAAATTAAAATCAGATAAGTAAATTAAATAATAGAAAAGAAGTATTTGGTCGCTTCTGTTGGTTGCAGATGAAAGTGCACTACTTCATGAAATTGATTAAGATGGTTGAAAAGACGAAAACAGAGAGTTTCCTTAGGATGTCTCCTTCATAAACACCATATACAGCTTGTGCAACCCGGGGAAGCTGGCTACGAGTTCTCCATTTCCTACCCGGGGAAACTAGCGATGAGTATTCCATTTTCTTACCTTACTGGAATTTTCATGTAAAGCCTTAAGCTTTGAGCTTCTTGATGAGTTACTATGCCACCTCCCCCTCGATTAGCAAGATAGATGTGATGCTAAGATGCTTTTGAGGTCTCCCGTGAATGTCATAGCTTACTAGTTTTGTATCTTAATGACTCACACAATTCAGAGAAACAGATGTGTTATAAAAATTTGATACGATGAACTTTGTGCAACTTCCTGACAATGTCTAAGCAGCTTTGCTGTTTTGCAAAATCGTGCATCAAATAGTCAGGACCAATTACAATCGTATCATATTCCACCGTGATGCTAAGATTTTACTTACTAAAAGCAAATTTGTTAACAAGTTAAGGTGAGTAGGTAGCTGGGCCTCCATATGCCTCAGCAACAGGATATTTTATCTTGACAATATGAGCAATTTCGATATTGATGTTAATGCCAATTGTATAACTTGGTGAATTTTCATTTCAGTAGGTTGTAACTTCAAAGTTCATGAACAAATGGTCTCGGTTTTGTGCTACGTTATGGTGGCACCAAAGCCAACAACTAGCCTATTCACTGCCAGCTTTGAAAGGTAAATTTATGAATTTATTCTATGCTGAAGTGTCTAAGAAAGTTCCTTTTTGGTCATCTCCAGTGCATATACATACATTTGAGACTGTATATATATATATAAATATCTTCCTACTGTATCTGCTTCAACTAAGACTCGTTCTGATGCATAAATTGAAAATAATAATTGTGAAGCAACGAAACAAAAGTGCATAACATGACCTACAGACTTGGAGACTCCCCGAATCCATGAAAATGAGCTAAATCTGAAACAAAAAAACACGAAAATCTGCAAAAAACCGAAAGAAAAATTTACGAATTTTTGTTCCTCTGAATAGCAAATGTATAAGTGTAGTGTACCTTTATCAGAAGGATTGTGAGAGGAGAGACGGAGGATGAGCAATCAAGAACAGAAACTCTTATAGATGTTTTAGTTAAGTAGAAGTTATAAATATTTTTACTCTACCCTCTCCTGACTCCACTTGTGGGATTTCACTAGGTATGTTGTTGTTGTGTCGCTACTCTTCTCCCAAGTTCCTATCTACTAATTTGAAGGAATTATGCTTTGATTCAAATATGTCAGTCAATGCAGAGATATTCATTTGCTACAACACAAATAGTTTAAGAAAGTTTAGATTGAAGCAAACAAATGACAAATATGTTGTCCTTTTCCTTTTGTTTCCTTTGACCACTATCGTGGAGCTTTACCGAAGTCCACGTCTAACTACCACTTGTGTGGAGCATTTCTGGTGGTGGAAGAATTTGCTACCATAGTTTCCCTGCCAAAAGAAAGGGGTAATTCTACTCACTGCCAGTGTGTCCTTTGTATTTTAGTGGATGGACCTCAATTTTACAGGACCTGAAAGCACAGAGTTAGTGAATGCTGAGATGTTTCGTATAAAATGTGTAAGGGAATTGAGTTGTACAACATCTCACATCCACTATATAAAAGCATTTCAAAAGGGTTAAAAAGGTGTTGAAATACTCCACTTGTTTAGACTCTTCATATTAAACGTGTGGGGGAGTATTCAGGTATATAAAAAATCTCACATCAGCCATATAAGATTTAGAATCCCTTACTAAGATTTTGAAATACCTCACTTGTTTATATTTTTAATTGAATAATTTTTCAATGGGGCAATGGGGAATTAGAGTCAGTTTCATCTCCTGAGGAGAGTATATAGGTTATCTTAGAGTAGCTTAATTATTGCTATCAACTTGTTAGTTTATTACACAAATAGATTCTGTACAGTTACAATGTGGTCATTGCTATTGCCTAATCAGTGTATTAACCTAACTTTTTACCTAACCTATAGTTATAGGTCAGTTATAACAGCTAGTTTTTTTCTTCTTTTTAAGTCCTAATTTCATCTTCGATGTTTGGCTAAATAAATATAGATGAAGTTTTTGCCTTGTATCAATTCAGAATTCTTCCTGCCCCTCTCAAATCTTTCAAGATATTAAGGTTCATTTTTTTTTTCATTTTAGGTTCTAAATTCTTTTTTCCAGAATGCATCTTGTGAAATTGATCATTGATCCAATTTGAGTACCTCTGCACGATAGATCTCAAGTTAATGTAGCATTCAGTTCTCCACTATTTTCAGCTCGATAAAATTTATAGGTTGCTTGTAATATATTTTTTCATCATTTAATCATTCTTAATTAGTTGACTTTGAATTTGAACTATACAAGTTGGAACTAATGACTCTCTTCTTATTTTCCTATTTTGATTGTTGATGCTGCTTTGACTTTATGCTGATTCTAAATTTCACTATGGTTTTGAGAAGTTCGTTATTAAATATAGGAAGAAAGGTAATTTTTTGGTGTCTAACATCTTCTTTTCACCTTTACTTTAAGTTATGATTAGTTTTGACAATTTTTTATTGAGTTCAAAATTTATACACCGTCAGCCTGAAAGTGTTGATGTATATAACTTATACTCTATTTTGTTTACTATTGTGGGTCCCAGGGGCGTAGCTACACTCATGTTAGGGTGTCCAATTAGTTGGAAAAAAATAACATATATACAAGTAAAATGATACACGAAATGATTAAATAATATATTTTGGATACCCTTAACACAACAAACTGTTATAGCCTAGTGGTTTCAGACACTTGGAATGAGGTAGCTTGTGTGTCTGAATTTCACTAGTAGCAAATTTTTTTCCATTTTTTGAAAAGAGCTTTTGTTGTTCTATTTCTAAACACCTTTTGTGAAATTTCTGGCTCTGTCACGGGTCTTTTCAATTCAATATTACCTTTGGTGATATTAGCCGTTAGGTTTATAATATAACAAAAAGAGGTTTGTCTAGTATGAGTGTTTCGTAAAGCTTCCTTCTAGCCGGTCAAAAAAGGCGGGGTCTCATGTTTCTTTGGAAAAGATATTCGATGATGACATGTTTGTTGTTTTTTTGTATGGATTTTCATTCTTAAGATTGTACATTATATTATCTCTACTAATGGTATAAGTTAATGGATAAGACATTTGCCCAAAAAAAATATGGGTAAGTCTTGATCCTTTGTATTAAAATATTGTTGTGGGGTTCATTCAAACTAAGAAAAACTTGTTTTCTTTATTAGTATTGATTAAGGACCTATAATCTTCTAAAATAGCTTCAGTTTATCAAACACGTAGATAAGTTAAAAAGTGTTTATAAGCTTATCTGAACACTCTCAATGTTTGCTCTAAAGGCACCAAAACTACAACAACATACCCAATATAGTTCCACAGGTAAGACTGTCGTCGGTAGACCCTCGGTTCAAAGAAACTCTAAGAAACCAAAAGCTTTTCTTTCTTACTTTTGTTTATGCACCTTATATTTGTATATTTAGTTATTGCCATTTGCCAGTATCTTCGCTGTGTCTGTTGCATATTTTTGAATTGAACTAAGAGTTAAGGTAATTCCGATCTTCCCAAGAAAAAAAATAGGATATTATGCTGACCTCATTTACAGAAGTTAAAGAAAGAAAGGACTAATGGAGTTGAAACATCATGGTCCTTATGAATAAGTAAGTTGAAATGACACTAAGAGGAGGAAAGAAATGTAAATAGCTTCTTTTTTTTTTGCATTATTAATTCATGGATTCCATAGAGATAAGGACACAGGTTTTCCTATTCGAATTTTTGTCTGCACTTCCTTGGTTCCTTGTGCATATATTCTATCAGTGCAGGCTGTCTAAAAAGCTCAGCAAAAAACACAGCTGTGTAGAGTCTCCTTGTATATATCAATATTTGCTTCTTCAGTGTAAACGGCATTTTCTTCACATTTCTCCTCCTAAATCAAGTTTGTTGTGTTTTTTTCCCCAGTTATGGCTTCTGCTTCATTCCTTTCAACAATCGGCAAAAGGTATGTATAAGAAAGCTTTCTCTAGATATAACATCATATGTTAACTATTGATGAAATTCGATTTTCTTTTTATTCATGTAAGACATTCTTTCGGGAAACCATCCTTAATTATTTCGTGTACTTATTTCAAGAAGCTTGTGGCAGTGTGTCATGAACCAGCCTGGATACGATAATTTACTATATGATGGTTAATTCTGGAAACAATTATGACGATGTTTGTTAGTTCCATCCAACATATAATTCTTTAATTTGTTTATCTTTCGAAAAGATCCATTGATATCAATATCTCTTGTTGCCATCACATGTTCTGCTGAAAAATGTTATAAGAAGTTTCAAGCAAAGGGAATAAGATCTTGCTCTCATCCAAATTTTAAATTAAAAAATTTCTCTAGTTTTTTTTTTTTTTTTTATAAAAAAAAGCGCACACTTAAGGTAAACTGATTTTTTCTGTGATTATCATAAGTATTTTTTAAATACTTCATATTATAGGAAGTAGGATTATATATTCTTCGACTATCATATACTGTTGTAACCGCGTAGTTTCATATTCTTCAATGTGTTTATTTGGCTATCAGTTGCTCTATTTTGCTTTGTACTTTGATATTTTGCTGTCTATCTTTTTCTTGCTACTCTTCTCCATATAAGTTCTCTTTTTTTGAGTCCAAGGGTCTATTAGAAACAACCTCTCTAGCTACCCCACAAAGGTGGGGTGAGGTCTGCATACATCTACCCTCCCCATACCCTATTTGTGGGATTTTTATTGTTGTTTGTATTATAGGAAGTTAGATGTATTCACCTTAAAATTTAAGAAACAAGGAGAAAATTCATTTGGAGATTAGATGTTCTTTCTAAAGCGAAAAATGTTATGAAATTGAGACCACTATAACTTCCATTTTTTGTATATGAAGGCTAGAGGGGAAAGTAGCAATTGTAACCGGAGGAGCTAGTGGTATCGGTGAAGCAATTGCAAAGCTCTTCTCTGAACATGGAGCCAAAGTGGTCATTGCCGATGTCCAAGATGAACTCGGCAACTCAGTCATCAACACCCTCGGAGGCTCATCCAACTCCATTTACATCCACTGCGACGTCACAAACGAAGACCACGTCCAAGAAGCTGTCGACAGAACCATCGCCACATTTGGAAAACTCGACATCATGATCTGCAATGCTGGCATATGCGACGAGACCAAGCCAAGAATCATCGACAACACGAAAGCAGATTTCGAGCGTGTCCTTAGCATCAATGTAACAGGAGTTTTCTTGAGCATGAAGCATGCCGCTCGCGTCATGGTCCCGACGCGTAGCGGCTGCATCATCTCCACCGCTAGTGTAAGCTCCACGGTCGGAGCTGCAGCATCCCATGCATACTGCAGCTCCAAACACGCCGTGTTGGGGCTCACCAAGAACCTAGCGGTGGAGCTAGGACAATTCGGTATACGTGTGAATTGCTTGTCACCATACGCGATGGTGACGCCAATGGCGACAAAGGTCATTGGGCTTGAAAATGAAGAATTTGAGAATGCGATGAGCGCGGCTGGGAACCTTAAAGGAGCTACTCTGAAGGTGGATGATGTTGCAAAAGCAGCATTGTTCTTAGCAAGTGATGATGCCCAGTATATCAGTGGACACAATCTTTTCATTGATGGGGGATTCACTGTGTGTAATCCAAAACTAGGCATGTTCAAGTATCCAGAATCTTAATATATGGGATTTCATTTAATCTATTTATATAAATAATGTTGTATAACAACAGCAACAACACTATATTCCGTGTAATCCGACAAGCGGAGTTTGGGGAGACTATGATGCGCTGTGTACGCTGACCTTACTCCTACATCTGTGGGATATATAGAGAAGCCGTTTCTGAAAGACTTTTGTTATTATGGAAATACCAAGTTATGATTTTAGAATTGATGATATCCATCATTACCTTTTACATAATGCAGCTCACACGATGTCTTTCATTATATTGGATTTTTTCAATATGCGATTTTTATATTGCATTTAAAGGTAAATTGTTTCTAAAATATAGAAAGATGAGCTTCTTTTTGTGACAAACTAAACAAGAAAGTGTGTCATGTAAATTTGAATGAATTTTATACTTGGACATTTTCCAACAAATTCCATAGTAAATCCAGCCCAAGAGCTTGGGCTTACTAGTATTGACGGTCCATTTTGGAGATCTACATTGTCGTTTATATAAGGTTCATAAGAAAATATTCAGACGTCAGTATGATAGTCATTATTAAAAGCAAACTTGACTAGCGCACATAACCTTAACATGTTTTTACTTACATGAATAATTCTTTTCACAAAAAATCAATAAACAAAATACAAGAAAATCATTGTATGGTTACTTTTTATATTTAAATTGCAACTGATAATAAGAGATCATTTGCTCGTTTTTTTTTTTTTTTTTATGTAAAATATTAAATAACAAATGAAAAGTAAATGCCATGATGGAAAAAGAGCTGTAATATAGAGACTAGTCTTGAAGCAGCACATGGCAAATTGCAATCTACTTATTTATTACTCCCTCCATTCCATATTAAGTTAATTTTTGAGGTGTTTCACACCCTTTAAGAAAAGCAGATTAAGACATAAATTGAACCTAGTTTTTCATTTTAGCCTTATTAATTATTGTCAAATTTATGATTAAAATAACTATTAATTAATCACTAATTTCAATATTAACTAATGAAGGGTGAAATTGAAAGAACACTTTAAAAATAGTCTTGAAAACTGAACAATTAAGTTAATTTGAAAAATGAAAAATGCTCAAAAATTAACTTAATATGGAATTGAGGGAGTACTGCTGCAAGAGAATTGTGCCCCAATTTGGTAGTAGTTGGATCTGCTTCCTTTTGCTTTAATTTTTTTTTTTTTAATATAATGTTTTACAATTAGCTCCAGCATTAACTTCATGACCAATAATTGTTGCCAATTCAATGTGATCCCCACCTCACCAAAACGGTGAGAAGAATTCAAAAACTGAAATTTACAAGTTTTGTTAGTTCTTTTATTTTTAGTAGTATTTAAAAAATAAATTGAAGTATAGAGAATAAACTGTAATCACAAAATAAATAGAAATAAAGTGATTTTATTTGTTAAGATTGTAAATATAATTCTGTGTATTTTCTTCATTTCTTCTTTTTGAATTTTTTTTTCATGATTCGAGGATTATTTCTAACATATTTCTCAAGCGTATAATTATTTGGATCTTCTTGTGTTGTATTTAATTGGCTAAAACATAAGTGATTTGGACTTTTTTATGATGTATTTAATTTCCTAAAACGTTAGTTAGCACTTAGATATATATTTTGAGTTGATCTTGAGGAATATCACATCTTGATCACTTGTCTTTAAAAAAGACAATATTCAAGAATTTATAACGTATTCAAAATTCCTCTTTATTTTATAGGCTTAAAAGTTATAAAATTACTTCTCAAAATAAACTGATTTCGACTTATTAATCAAATAAGCTTTTTATTAATAAGATAATTTCTAAATATGAATTATATTTTTATTTTTCATTTTATCCTTAAATTTAATATTTAATTAAACATCATCACATGGTACAAATTAAATCAATTACTATCAAAACTTATAATAGCAGCAAAGCATGTGTACCTATATAACTTGGTGTCAATCTGATTTAATACAACTATTTATAAATAATACTACAGCATTAAAAGGGTACCTCATTTGCTGTCTATAAAATGCTTCTTTGCTGCTTCTTTTTTTTTTTACAATAAAATCTCATTGGCTTAGAACTTCCTCTCTTATTTCCAAGAAAAATTGTTAAAAATGAATGGCTTCTCCTCTCCTCTAGTTCACACAAGCAAAAGGTAAGCTTACATCTTTTTTTACTTAATTATGTCATTCATATATCTTCATTACACATGAACCTAAAAGTTATGAGTTTAATTGAACTTATCTACGTATAATGTTGGTTCTGAAGTTATATTGATTTGTATCATTTCACTAAAAATTTAAGTTGTTACACAATATCAGTGATGGATGCAAAGTATGAAGTATAAGTTCACGAAAATCTACTATCCTTTGCCCCAATCATGTATATATTTAAGAAATTCATTGAAAATTTATAAATATTTGATTGTAAACGCAGTTAGCATCATATATTAATATGAGATTGTTATAAGAATCTATAAATTTAAGTTGTTACAGAAAATCATAAGTTCACGGAAATCTAGTATATTTTGTCCAAATCATGTATATATTTAAGAAATCCATTGAAAATTTATAAATATTTGATTGTAAACTCAGTTATTATCATATATTGACTTGAGATTGTTATAAAAATTCATAAATTTCAAATTCTGAATGCACATTTTTTAAAATGTAGATTAGAAGGGAAAGTAGCTATTGTAACAGGAGGAGCTAGTGGATTTGGAGAAAGTACAGTGAGACTTTTCTTACAAAATGGTGCAAAAGTTGTAATAGCAGATGTTCAAGATGAAATTGGACAATCCCTTTGCAACAATCTCCTCAATTGTCCTAATAACAACAACAATGATTTTACATACATACATTGTGATGTTACAAAGGTCTCCGACGTCGAAAACCTCATCGACACAACAATTTCCAAGTATGGGAAACTCGATATCATGTTCAACAACGCAGGTAGGAGTGTTAAATGAGCGGTTAAATTGATTTTATGTCGGTTAAATTAAGCTATATGTAATTAATACATAGACAATGACCTCCCAAAGGTTTCTTGAGTTGAGTGAACGGAACAAAATAAGCTAACCAATGAGTCATAATTCAATCTGTCTAATTCTTATCAAGTTTTTTTTACTCCTATTACATAGTTGAACGAGTCAAAATGGAGAAATTTTCACTAGTTATCCCTTTTCGGACTATTGTTTAGTAAATAACTTCTTTTTTTACAACTTATGAAATCTTAGATCACGATCTAAACATCCTTTGAGCAAATCAGAAATCTTATGAGAAAATGTTAAATCTAGAATTTTGTTAGTTATTCAAATGTTACACCATAGTTTTATATTTTATTAGTAAGAGAAACATATCAACAAACATTTGAACCATTACTTAGAAGATTAATTTTCTAAAGAGTTATATTTGCACATTTTTAAAATAAAGACAAAACTCAAAAATAATGGCCTAAAAAGGAATTTTTCACATAATAAATCGACCATAAAAAGTTAATAACTCGTTCAAATTTAGATAACTTATGTTTTCATGAGCTAATTTTGTCACTCCTAAGTACAGGAATTCCAGGGAATCTCGATTTCAGCATAATTGACGCGGACAACGAGAATTTTAAAAAGGTTTTTGACGTTAACGTGTACGGATCTTTTCTCGGGGCGAAATATGCTGCACGGGTCATGATCCCAGCAAAGAAAGGTGTCATTCTTTTTACGTCTAGTTCGGCCTCTGTTTCCTCGGGCGAATCGCCACATTCATACACCGTCTCAAAACACGCGGTTGTGGGACTCATGAAGAATTTATGTGCCGAATTAGGGCAACATGGGATCAGAGTGAACTGCGTCTCGCCGTGCGCGGTGGCGACACCGATGTTAGTGAAGGCAATGGGTGTCGATAAGAGTGTCGTGGACGGAATAATTTGCTCGTCGGCGAATTTAAAAGGGGTGGCTCCGACGGCGGAGGATGTGGCGGAGGCGGCGTTGTATTTGGCAAGTGATGAGTCTAAGTTTGTAAGTGGAGTTAACCTTGTGATTGATGGAGGTTATAGTACTACTAATATGACTTATATTAAAACAATCCAAAGTGTATTATTTTCGAAATAGCTTTTTTTTAGTATTCGCTTTAAGGTTCGATTATATTAGGTTAGAGTTGCATGGCACAAGAGGCACGTATTGAAGGAGTTTTTCTATTTTCAAGATATTGTTAAATGTTTTTTTTTTAACATAAAAATTATCTAAGTTTTATTGTGTAAAAGAAGATTGTTATAACTTATGAATTATGATTATCGATGACATTTGTATGTTATATTTGATGAAATGTAGTTTAATTTTAATTTATTTAACTAATTTTTCATGTTTAACCTTTTATTATATCTAATATAAATCAAGATGAGCTAAAAGATGTGAAAACTAGAGATATGAAATTTCTTTTATTGACTATATTAAATTGGGCAGTTAAATAAGCTTTAAGTACTCAACTAACTCCTATTTTTTTTAGATAATTTATATCTTGATCTAGTCAAATCAAAAGATTGAATTTGATCAAATTTAAGACATCAAAAATTTATTATATAGTATTAGTCAAATTTAAATATTGAAAGCCCGAAAAGATATTGATATATATATATCCAGAGAAGATTGTGAGCCATACATGTAATAATTCCAATATTATAAGATCATGCATATTGTGGAATTGGCATTAATATCCTGTATTTGAAGAGGTGTTATACACAAATCATAAATGTGCCTCATCTATAGCATGGAAGGTGGAAGTGGGTAAATATTAACGGATCATCAATTTTTGCTTATTAATATATGTTAACGTCCCTATTTGCATGCATTATGCATACACAATGCTTATTAATATGTTTCACTTAATATTTATACTATAATTGAATTTATAGTAAGATGCTCCTATTCAATTTTATGGGGGTCCTATAATTTTCTTGGATATTTTTTAAAGTATTTTTTTACTCGCATGCTGATTGAAAGACAAAAAGATAAAAGGAGTTTTATCATATTATCACTCTTTAAACATAAGAAAAAATGGAAACACTCTTCCCTTCGCACTTCAATTTTTTCATGGAGAAATGAGTTAAAACTCTTAAAATTAAATCTTGTAGGAGTATATAATTATATTCTTTCATAACCGAGTTTTCACTTATATCATGCTGGATAAATATTAATAAAAATATTTTTTTTTAAATATTAAATCTCCACAAAATATAAGTGTGTTATGTTTTATTTCCAATTGTCGGTTGTAGGCACCAATATTTAATAAGAGCATGTGATATTGATGATGCCTGAGAAATTAATTTTGTCCACCTATCCATTAATCATCTCAGTTATGCCCTATAGTACTCCCAACCCTACCATGGTCGTATGGTAAAATTTATTCGCATCAAATTTTATTTTTTTCAAAAATTTATATTTATATTGGAAATAAAAAAAAGATTATTTGAGAACAAATTGCATTTCATTAAAAGGCACGAGATGTATCATAAATTAAAGTCGTTCTTTGAATTTTCTTTCTTCATATGGGAAATGAATTTAGACCAGCATGTTAATTATTGTACCATTTTATTGAAGAGTTTATCAAGAAATTAATTTCTAATTATTTAAGTAAATGATTTGATCACGTAAATATTATTTATACTATTAAATGTTTGATAAAAGAACAAGGTTAAACTGATCTAAACAATCATAATATTGTGTGTCTGTATTTTTTATATTTTAGTTTTCTATGTTAAGTATTCAGTGTTTATTATTCTTAAAAACAGTTAATACTAAGTAAAATGAGAAAAAAATCTTCATTATATCTTGATTTTCTATAATAATTATTATTTTAGATTAACTATAAAAAACAAGAACAACAACTAAAATGAAGCATATTGAAGGAGTACTTTCGTTTTAAATTGAATGATTGTATTGAAGATACATATATATACCTTTTTAAATTGAGTGTTTGTATTGAAGATATGCGCAAGTTCTTCAACTATTGGGCTTAATTAATATATGAGTACCTATGAATTTTACATCTTTTATTTGATGTATATCTAAACTAATTTTGATCTTTATTAGTTTTTGAAATTGACAGTTTTATAGTTTTAATACATTTCCAAAAGACATGATAAAGAATGTTGATGCATATTTTATAGACGCGTAAAAATAAAAAGATCGAAAAGAAACTTTCATGTGAGGGATTTTTCAGTTATTATTGTCATATACATGCATAAACTTCACTGCCTCAATAGGAAAAAGCTAAGCGAAATGAAAAAGGTTCAATTGAATTCACTTTGCATAAAAAATGTAATATTCCTTTCTCCTCTTTAGAATAAGTCAAAAAAAAAAAACACACACACACACAATGACACATACAATACAAACATGTGAACTGGATTTGTCCATCATAGTAGTTGGGCTTTTTAAGTGCATCATTGGGAATAGGAGTTGTGTTTGGGTCCAACCTCAGTCCAGTCCTTGAATCGAACGGGCTAACCAAGCTTAAGCGAAATAGTCTGTTTGTCAAACTTTTAAAACTAGCTCATTTTGCAATAATTCCAAAGCACTTTTTCTTTTGAGAAATTTTGACTAAGCAAATCATCACTTTCCTCAACTCTAAAAGGTAAATGTTAGGTCGATTAATCACACTTTTTTTTCAAAAGTTAAATTGTTACTTGAAGTGTAATTATAAAATCAAAATGCAATTCTTTATATTGGGAGATAGATTTAAAACGGTCCCATAGATAGTCTTGAGTTATTGTAATCCTTGTAAGTTTATTAAAAGTTAGCAATTTTAGCACCCAACTATAACCTTTAAATGTGCGTTCACGTATCGAAGATCAAAAGTGTTCACTTTTAGCAACGTTAACAACCAAAACTGCTCAAAAATATATTTAAGGACTACTTTGAACCTATCACAAACTTGAGGAACCATTTTTGTCATTTTCTCCCCCAAATTCTCAATCTTTTAAAACCCTAGAGTAACCCATTTGCCCTAATTCTCCTTCTTCTTCCTCCCTACACAGCTCCAATCCCCTACCCCTCCCCCTCCCCTCCCCCTCCCCCTCCCTCCTGCCCCTTCGCCGCCGCTCCGGTAAGCAGCCATGGGTCGTGTCCGTACAAAAACAGTGAAGAAATCTTCACGTCAAGTGATCGAGCGTTACTACTCAAAAATGACCTTAGATTTCCACACAAACAAGAAGATCCTCGAAGAAGTTGCTATCATTCCATCTAAGCGTCTCCGCAACAAGATCGCTGGATTCTCTACTCATCTGATGAAGCGAATCCAAAAAGGCCCAGTTAGAGGCATTTCTCTAAAGCTACAAGAGGAAGAGAGAGAACGCCGTATGGACTTTGTTCCTGATGAATCTGCTATTAATACTGAGAGGATTGAAGTTGATAAGGAGACTATTGACTTGCTTGCTTCAATGGGTATGAGTGAATTACCTGGTGTTGTACTCAAGGAAGAGCAGACGGTGGCTATTGCTGGACCTGTTGGTGGATTTGGCGGTGGTCGTGGTGGATTCGGCGGCGGACGTGGAGGTCGTGGTGGGTACTGAGATCGGTTTGTTCGTTTTATTTTGTTATGAGAAGTGATTTTTCCTGAATGTAGACTTGATTTTATCTGATTATTGTTTAAATTTGGGATTTTGTGAACCAATTTAGTTTTTTTTTAACCTATGGGTAATGTGCATTTCTCTTTATGAAATATGAATTGAATATTGCAGAACTATAAAGCTTTTGTTTTTTTAACTATGTGCATTTCTGTTTGTGAGCTCAGCGATTATCAAAAATAGATTCTCTACGTTCACAATTTATAAATTGTGATGCTGTGTATACACTACTCTCTTTGGACTTATATTGTTGTTCGGTATTTGCACTTTGCCTATCAGTACTCGATCACAGAATATTGTATTATTCATGATTTATGATTTATCTTTTATTTGTTTCTAGAAATCTATGCAAAAGCTCTATTTGTTTCCTGCCATTCTAATAGTCTCTTTTTTTTTTGACTTAATTGAAAGCATCTTTTGTGCATCTTTATATTTTTTCTTGAAACCTACATGTTTTGTTTGACACTATTTTCTTATTAGTCCATTTTAAAAAGAATATCCCATTCATAAATGAGATATTTTTAACATCATGATAACAAGGTTTTTTTAAGTTTGATAGTTGTATAAATGTTAGTACCACACCTTATCACCAAAAAAAAAAAGTTAGTACAACATTTATAAATGCAAATCTTTTAGATGTTTTTTCTCTTTAAACAGTGTCAAATATAACTACGGCAAACAAAATGATGAGAGCACTCTTAATATTATCTTGATGAGCTATCCTCTTCGGATTCTACTTTGTAAGATTACTAGGGGTGGGCATAAATATCAAAAAATTGAACCAAATTAAATTAGTTTGATTTGATATACGGTGCACACTTTTCAAAAACCAAAAATCAAAGAACCGAACGCCCACCCCTAAAGATTGCAATGTTGTTGAGTTTTCTCGATTGAAGATTTCACTTTGGTGATTAAATATCTTTCTTTTTCTCATTTCACATATTAATCACAATCATAAAAATGATTTTGTTCTTTTTTTATATCTATACCAACTAATTGAGCAATATGACAAGGCACTTTAATGTTTAAATCACCTTAAAGAAGAGTAACAAAATGTTGACCTTAAAGAAGAGTAACAAAATGTTGAATCTGCATACGCCAATAATACATCAAAATGACAATTACTATTAACAATGATAGGAGCAAGGCGTGAAGAAATTTGCCACGACTCCAGGGATAGTAATGATTGCAAAACCTTAAATTACACTCTAGATGCTATGTACGCGTACACGGGGTTGAGCATCTTGTGATTTTGCACTCACTTCCATTGTAATAACACGATACAATATTAAGTTACACGCAAGACAATAAACTCTCGAAACTGTGCTAATTGAGCAGAAGAAGCAAGTACAGGAGGCACATCACTCACTTGAATTTGCAAGGCCAACCATGTTAAGCATATGGCGATCCTCTTTAAATCTTTCTAACACGGTACCTTGAAGTCTATCCTGATTATCTTGAGCTCTTTTTATCGCAACTCCCCAGCATTCTATCACTTCTGGATAGATTTGGTGGGTCTTTGACAAGCTAGGACTGCCAA